TTGCCTTCATTCAGTAATTAAACTTTTTTTTGAGAAACTATGTAGTAAGTAGTTTCTCAGTGTAGAAATTGAATTATCAAGAAAATAATGAAGAAATTAATTAAGACCTACCAGAATCCTATTTTCAAGGAGCTTCCAATCAATGTGAGTGTCCCTATAAAAGAAGAGAACATAAAAAAAAAAAAGACAGATGTAAAAATAACTGATTATAAAATTCACTGGGCTTTTCTCCTTCACATGTGTCTTAAGGTCACTCCATAGAAAAGAGCAGACAGTGACTATTGTGAAGGAAAAAAATGCATTCGGGAGAATCTGTGTAAATAGTTTCTTGTTTAAAATAACTGTCATCAAATTTGTGAATTTTATTAGTTTTCTTTGTTATCTGAATTATAAAATCAATACATTACTTCCATGTATTTAACACTTTCTTTGGCTATAGTCAAACCTGCTTTATAAACATAAGGGCTATTCAGTTTTGTACTTTTGGTAATATTCTAGCCACAAGTAAATAAATGTCCATAAAACGTAATTGGCAGCATACAATAAAGTACTTCTTCCACATAACAATTTACAATAGATGTTGTACATTCACATTTGGGTTTTAGAAGGGGATTAGGCAAATCCTTGTTGCTTGCACTTCTCAGAAACAGAACTCAGTCTGCAATGCTGCAATAGGTTTGGCATATCATACAAATTGAACAAATATTATTCATTTACCAAATGCTTTAGTCCTGTTTCAAACTCTATGACCTGGTTGTTTTAACAAATTTAAAAAAGCCTGAGTTAACTTTCAAATAGCTCTTATAAGTCATTGCCTCAGTTATGCACCTTGAGAATACCAAGTAAAGAACAAATAGGAAGGCTTGTCTTGCTGGCAAATCTGATTTCATTTAGGGAGCATTGACAGTATAGACATTGAAATTTGGTTTAAATTATGCATTAATATAAACTTTTATGATATTAAACCTTCATGAATAAACCAAGAAAAGATACTTTCCTCTTTATGAGTTTTAGGGAAAAGCATGCTAATTTCACCATGCAGTTGACACTTTTTATTTTTAGAAATCAAACATTGGTGTAATGTTACATTACAATGATGTATATATACTAGAAATGGTCACATTTGTAATCAGAAATTCCCAATTTAAAGTCCCCATAAATTCTACCCTTTTTTCACTCATCTACTCACCTTTCACACCTTAAGTTCATGTATGTGTGTACACACACACACATTTTATAACCTTTCTTTGAATCTTAGTTTGTAATTTAAACATAAATCATTGTGATAGCTTCTCCCCTTAACAAATGCCAGTTAGTATGCTTAATTTAACTTTTTATAAGAGGCATGCTTTGACAGCAAATGTGGTATAGAAAGTGCAAAGTATATAAAATCTTCTTTTACCAAATGTCTCTTAATTTGAACTAAACTTTCCTGTGGTGGTAAATAGCTACCATCAGACACACTTGCTCATAACTTACAGTTGTCCCAATATTAACCTCTATTTATTAAACACCACTTTCTATATATTTCATAAAATCTGCAAAATCAATTATCCCCAAACATCATTACATTTTAGACCTTTTTATTCAATGTACTTTCCCCAGTCTTCTAACTATTGCTTCTTCTTCAACCCACGCCACAGTTGAGCCTCTTCTATTTGCTACCTGGGTTAGAAATATGCCTTCTCAAATCCTCTTTCTTGTTCAGTTCATATTCACTTGGTTACCATATTTGATTGACTCTACTTCCTAAATATTTCTGGACTTTGCATCTCATCGTGTTATACTGCCTGCACTGTATGGTATCACCATTCTTTTCCCTTTACCATATATGAGTCTTCTAGTTTTTATACCTGCCATCCCACCAAGGAAATTACCTTTATTGAAACAATTGTGATCATACCATTCATCACACTGAAATCCCTCTGGTCGACAGAATAATTGCCTTGGCACAAACCAAGGAATAATTTAGAGCTACCTTATGCTTACAGTCTCTTGTAATTTCATACATCTTATTAACCACTACTTCTACACTATTTGCATCTAATTTATGCCCATCCCCTTGTTCACCCCATATGCGTACAAACTGATAGCTTCAATGGATGTTCTAAGATAAAGTTCCAGTGTTAGCTATTCTATGAAATGTCCCTATTACTACCTCCTTCACTTATAAGAGTACAAGAATTGGAAAAAGTGATTCAAGATTACAAAATGAATCTATTATTAGAATCAAAGAAAAATGTGACAAAGTAGAATTCTATTTTTTATTTTAGTATTATAAGTTTTAAGCTGGATTGTTACAGGCAACCCAGACTAATGTTTTCTGTGGTTTCCACATAAAAAGTAAAAGTTCTTGTCTTAAAATGAAGGCTGGGAAGTTTGTATCTAATTTAACTCTGACTATATAACTTGAGTGATCCTTATACATCTTTAAGAAAGCAATCATTAAACTATTCAACTGCAAAAAAAAAAAAAAAATCCCAAAAACTAGAATCCTAGAAATGAGATTCAGAACCTCAATTTTTCTCACTTGCCACAGCATAATACTTAAACCTTCCTGAAGAAATGATGTTTGGCATCATTTGTATATCTCTACATCCAAATTCCTGGATGAAAAACATAAAGAGGAATTCTTCTTTGCCAGCTTAGACAATTATATCTTTTTTGCTTTTTCAAAATTCTATTCCATCAAAAACTTTTGACTATGAAGATAAAATATGATTTTAAAAAACAAGCAAAAGAATGTTTGTAGCATGATGTGTGAAATGACTGTGCTACATTAATCAGTAAAACTTTTAAAGAGGGAGTTAAGTAATGTACTTTAGCATATTTCGTAATTTTGGTGGAAACTGTTACCAATTATGCATGGGACATGTACAGAACTCTCTGCCAGTGAAGTTTCTAGACATCTAACATCCACTTTTTAAATAAAAATTATAATATATTTATTGAAGCTATATTGACTTGAGATTTTTAAGCATACGAATTATTTATATTTTCACACCTGTTCTAGCTAAAGTTGTACCATATTTAACAAAAGTGTCAGGTGCTTAAAATTAGAGTTGTTTCCTTCAAGCTTTTCAGAATAGGAGGAACTTGGCATAGACCAATCCAATCCATCTTCTTTTAAACCCAGAGTTATTTAATGTTCTGAGCTTAGAGTGATTTTCTTTCAAATTAAGGTCCACTTTTCATAGACGGTTCTTATGAAAATGTTGTACACATTTTACTTTCAACTCTCATTTTTTCATTTCGGTCAGTCAGAGTCTGAACAACACATGGATCCGTCTCTGCCTCTTTCCTTTCTAGTGTCTTTTCCTGTGTAAAATGTGCACACATTTTCTGTAAGTCTCCAGTGCTGAGTTACTAACGTGAAAAAATGGCCCTGTAACTTGGAAAGCAGTTTTCCCTTACAAGTCCCTCAGGCCCTACAATATCTAAACCTGCTGTGCCACTTTACACGCCCTTCCCCACAGAAGAGCATGGACAGGAAAAGCAAAATTCCCTTCCCCCACACATTTCCTCAGTTTATTTACAAAACGTCTTGGAATGAGAATGAGCTGTTTGTGGTTCTTGTGGCTGATCCAGGGATGGTTTCCTCTAGGCAGAGGATGCTGGTCAACCGAGTGACCTCTCTGTAGCTAACCCATGAACCCGTGTGGTAAGGCTGCTTGGGCTGATGGGTGCCCCTTTAACTAAGACTGGTGGGTTTTGTTTTTGTAGTAAAGAACTTACAATAATCAAAATTTACTGTGAAAAGCATTTTGATAAATAATAGCAAACTCCATCACAGTCTATCCCTTTAACCATCAACATAAAGAAGTCAGAAATTCCCTAGGATGCCATCACACTCCTGTGCATCAACTTTTGCTTCTCATAAGGTTCAGGATTTCATCTCTTATGGATGACCGAAAGAATAACCAAACTATTCATGTTGTTTTTGAGTAGAGAGTACCTTAAGATAGGAAATGATCCCAAACACCAACATCATGAGACTTGCAGCTTAGCAATTTTCTACCAATTTATACATAAGCAATGATGATTGGTTAATAATCATAAGAAATTTTAGAGTTGCAAAGATCTCAAGTAAACACGAATCTTCCAAATATCTGTTTAAATTGCTCACATTTCTTGATGAAGAGTCTCACTATCTTCCGATATACATTGGTGGCTTTTGGAAGCCTTGAACTTCTCAGGAATTTGTGTAAGTGAGGTCCATAGAGTAGACTGATCACATCCTCACCAAGTAGACATTTCACTAGAGTCAGTGGAACTGAAAGCACAAAAACTATAACAGTTCTCTCCCAAAAGAGAAAAGGTAAAACATGAATTATTATATATACTCACACATGATCCACATGGATATTCTGGTTAGATAAATGTCACATTTTCATCATTATAGGAATTTGAACTTATTCATATTAAATTCATATGAGAAAAGCAAAGGGGTGTATATGTGAATAACTGTAGTTTCAGAATCAGTTTGCATTGGATCAAAGAGCAAAACTGTGTTTTGTAGTAGACCATAGTTGAAAAAAGATATCCTAGAACATAGCGTCCTTACTGGAGTTAAGCCCCAACCTATGGTGTCATCATTGCTGAAGAAATCAGAGACATGGAGACATGTGCTTACCATCCACCACCTAAATGAAAAAAATAAAAATAGTCAAACTAATATGTATTGATTTCAATAAATGAGCACAGAATTACCCGGTTTCCAATTTATCTGGGTGCTAGTTCCATGAGGGTGTATGTGTGACTTATAATTGGAATCCATATATATTTTATGTTTTAAATGCTCACATTCAAATAACTTTAAAATTTAAAATTCTACATGTATGTATTAAAGATCACAGAAAAAGAGAGGGGGACAATTTCAACTCATGTAACTAAATTGAATGTTAATGAAAAAAAATGTATATCCTGGCTAGAAAGTGACATTGAAATTGTGTATCCATGATTTAACTTTTGTTTTTGTCTTTCCACATTTGTCCCCCCAGTGCATCCTAATGTCAGTCAAGGCTGCCAAGGAGGCTGTGCTACGTGTTCAGATTACAACGGATGTTTGTCATGTAAGCCCAGACTATTTTTTGTTCTGGAAAGAATTGGCATGAAGCAGATTGGAGTGTGTCTCTCTTCATGTCCAAGTGGATATTATGGAACTCGATATCCAGATATAAATAAGTGTACAAGTAAGTGCCTACACAAAATGATGTTTTATCTCATCCTTTGGGACTTCCCAGATTAAAGATGACCCCTTGCATTTTTGGAATATTCAATGTTAGGTAAATAATGTCATTTACCTGATAATGAGTCTAAACCATAGACTTAACCATCAAAGCAGGAAGTCACCATTTGCAAAAACATTCAAGTTTTATGTTGTTTTTCATGTTATTTTTCATTTTAAAGCAATGCTGTATACATAGGTTCGTACTTATTGTGCCTATAGAAAAGTACTGTAAGCATTAATGTCTTCTGAGTTCCCATTAGGATCACAAGATTCAAGTACATAATGACTTAAAGAATATACACCTAGTTTGGCTTGAAGGAAAATTCCAGTATAGCAACTGAAACATCAGTTGCAAATCAATGTTGGAAGCAACCTCACATCGCCTCTTCTCCAGACCCTGAATGTCTACTCCTCCCACTGTACACCAAGTAGTCTTTCAGAACTTTAAATTAGGGAAAATCAATGCTTCCCCGATGCACAGATAGCCCTGCCTATCTCTCCAAACTCATCTCCTGAGACTGCCCCTCAACGATGCTTTGCACTAATCTCACTGGTCTTAAATGATCCCGCCTCAACACCTTTGCCATTATTGCTCTAGAGAGAGTGTTACACACACTCTTTTGGCAGCTTAGAAAACTTTTACCCACTCATTTGCTTGTCTGTATCTCTTTTTTTAAATTCAAGATTCTGCCATCTGTTACCTTCTCAGAGAAACATTTAATGACAATCTTAACCAACATTCTCAACCTCTCCTCTTTACAAGTCATTTCTATATCTTTTTTTGTCTACCTTTTTATTGTTGTTAAGTAATTTTTCCAACATACTTATCACTCTGGAGTCTGCTCTGTGGTCCTGGATGGTAACATAACCTGCAAGTGTTAGTTGACACAAAAGTTGTATGTGTATGTGTTGGAAGGAACCAGAACTGCACCCACAGCAGTTTGCTGAAATGATTAAGGCATATTTCTCTTTTCTTTTTTGTCTTGCAGAATGCAAAGCTGACTGTGATACCTGTTTCAACAAAAATTTCTGCACAAAGTGTAAAAGTGGGTTTTATTTACACCTTGGAAAGTGCCTTGAAAATTGCCCAGAAGGGTTGGAAACCAACAACCATACCATGGAGTGCATCAGTATTGGTGAGTGAGGCGTTCTAAGATTTATAATGGAATGACAAAGCCCTCAGATGACAATGTCAGGCTCTCTGGGCTTGCTTCTCAAAGTCCTACTTCTCAAGAAGCTGAGGGATTGTGTCTAAGGTTCTCTCCATTCTGCTTTTCAAAGAGGTCATTTAAGGGTGTTCCTGTAGTCTTCACCACCATGAAGAGGTTAACTGTTATTGTGCATTCCCATAACTCTTAGGGACTATCAGTAATTGTTTCAATTATTCTGATGCCATTATTTAATAAAATTTTACTTATAGAGATGTATTATGAATATTTGGACTCAATTTCTACTTCAGGGCAAGAATTTAACAAAGCACATAGGTCTAATAACAACCAGGGACCAAAATTATCCCAGTGGAAGGAGACATGTTCTCTTGATATATCCATTAAAGTCCAGTAGATAGAACAGACACTTAGGAAACTCATTTTTTTTTGTCTCATATTGCTTTACTGAAATGTCCTGCTTACCTAGGTTTTCAGACATGGAGAGGATTTTGGACTTACTCAAACTGACAAAAGGACAGTCTCAGGATCTGATTAATTGCAGACAGAGTTTCCCAGAGGGGAGGTCCCTTAGATAAGTTGTTTGTCTAAATAACAGATCACTGTGAGACTATATTTTCCCTCTTAAATGTTGGGTAGCTACTACAACTACAAGTTTGACGAACACTTGGGGAGCAGATGCTAAACCAAATGGGAAAATAGCATACTAAATCTCTAAGTCCCCTGGGCAAGAGCTACAAGAACCTTTGATGCTGCACTGGTGCTGGCATATGCACAAAAATGCCCTCCTGATTCAGTACAAGATAGTCTCCAGGACTTCCCTGGGTCCCCAGACAACTCCGTTAGAATAAGTGCTGAAGTAATAACTCTAAAGTGGTGGTTTAGCCATTTTAGATTACACTACAGAAACTCTACTTCTAACTGAAGTTTTGAGGAGAATAAAATACATAGATGACATTTCAAAGATAATTCCAGAAGCATCTGGAAAACAATCCTAAATCAGTTCATGGATCGTTATGTTTAGTCTTTTTTTTTTTTCTCTCTAGTCAATAAAAATAAAAAGTTTAAAAACAAGATAAAACAGATCTAAGAAAGCACTTTGAATTGTTTTCTTTGTAGGCCCTGAGGGCTGATAGTAGAGGTCATAAGTTCCAAACTCTGAAAATAATTCTGTAGAATATTCAAGAATAGAAAGTCAGAATGAGTTGTAGAAAGTTTGAGGCATTTCTCTAACCAAGACAAAGGGCACATGGATAGCTTTTCTTAATCATAGAAGGTACAACATTCAGGATATTTGTCTTAAATATGTTAATACTTTCCTATTGAAAAAATTATTTAACACCTGATTCTGTTGCATTAGCTATTAAAGATTAATGTTGGTATTCTACTCTACCATTAAAACAATTAAATTTAAGCACTATATGTATTTTAGAAGAGGGGTAAGCTGTGTAATGGACATTTAGTAAAGTGTACCATTAAGAAGTCATAATAGCACTAAGACATAATGGCACTAGTCAGCACTTCGGTTCAGAACTGGCAATTTTTGCTTGCTTTGTAAAGGACATTTCCCATTAGGCAGTGGATAACCTACATGTATTATGTGGGTTACACCCGGGGACTTGCCTCAGAGTTTCAAGAAAAATTGATTACCACACAGGAACTATAAAGCCTGTAACAAATATTCCTTTAACAAATACTGAAATGAGGACCCAGATGACCGAAATGATCCCAAGGACACATTGTGAGTGATTGTCAGCGCTATAATTAGTACCTTCACTCTAAGCTGTTGTGCTCACCCAAGAGGTTGAAGAATGTGTCACTCCCTTTGCTAAAATCTACACTGTATGATTTGTGTCTTACTCAGATTTTAAAATAAGAAGAAAATTCATAACCAGGAGATCCATCCTGACATCTTCCATCCAGGTATCAGGTCTGCAGGTTAAATTAAACATAACTGTCTACAGACAGCTTTACAGAATATATACAATTTATTAACACATAATTTGTGCTCCAAATAATTGCCTTTCTGTCTTGCCATGCCCTCATCCTCCTGTTCCTCATGGAGATCTGACCTTATTTAAGTGGTCTTGAAGGAAGATACTTGGCTGCAAACACTGAGTTGCAAGGAACATGTTGTGTTCTCTATGGCACTGTGCAGCTAGGGGGAAAAGGAGATGAGAAATGGGTGTAAAGGCCCTGACTGGGGGGATATCCAGTTCAACTTTCCCAATTCAAGAATCCCTTTTGCAACATTCCAGACCAATGATTAATTACAGCATAATCACTTCCAAGGAAAGATAGCCAGTTACTCTGAGGCACTTGCTTCGTTAGTGAATATATAGTTAGAGATTTTCAGCATTAAGATGGTTCTTAATACATAAAATGGAATACAAAAGCTGAATAGTTCTGTTTTAATTGCCTCTTAACCAAATAGTGCCCCAATTCTACATTGTTCATTTATTGAACTAAATAGTACGTCATTATCTTTGTTAATGTTTTTGTACATGTTTTTTGTAACTATTCCATCTTATTAGAGCATGAACTCATAAATTTTTAATATTTTCCTTCCTCAATTAAATTATCTAGGATTGCAATTCAAATTTAATTTTTAGAACCATTCATTACCTCAATAAATACACATAGCTACCTGTGCAGTAAGATTTTTACTGTTTTTCTAAAGTCTAGGTATAATTTTGCCTAGACCACCTTTGCCATGTAAAAAAGCACCCAAGTTTTAGTGACTTCCACCTAATATAGTTCTCTTATTTCTGGCGTTATGAATAAAAGACAAAATGATAGACCACAAATTTTAATTTTCCTAATTGCATTACTGGACATGGGTTACTTGTATGTGCTAAACGTATACTGTTTTCTAGTGACTAACATAGGGTTGGGAGATAAAACTTTAATTGGCAAGAAGTTTATTTAAGTGAGTTGGTTGTTCTGTTCTCTAACCAGAATTATAATGATGTAACTGAGTATGAAGATTATTTTGAAAGTGGTTCAATTAAGTTCATTTAAATCCACAGAAACTTAAATTTAGTTATCTAACCATTTCTGTCTCACTGTGTTGCATTCAGGTATCTGAAAGTAAATGAAAAACAATGTGGAAAAAATATAGAGTAAATAAACCTAAATTCCTAAAACATTTAGGTCATATTTTTTTTTTAGCTTGAATGAGGGGGAGCATTCTCATCAGGGTTCCTTAAATTAGCAGGCAGAAAGAGTTATTAGAGACTTGTTTAAATGGAAAGTCATATTATTTTAAAGAGTTACTATTGTAAGCTGTTTCATTTGTTGTAAGCTAGGATGTTTTATTGACATAATGTAAGGATAACACCTTGCAGGCATTTCTTTCATTAGTAGTGTAAAAATGTGTTTTAAGACCTTGGAAACACGTTGTTGTAAAGAAGAGTTCTGGAATGGCTAAATGGGTTAAAATACAGCACTATGAAGCAATCCCCAGTCACTGAAGCATGAGTTTGATTCCCCACCAGGGAGCTGACCCACATGGCACAGCAGACCTCTCCTGACCTGCCCAGTGCTCCCCTCAACAGTGTATTTCAGTTAGTTGGCCTGTTCTGCTCCCCACTCTGTCTCTGGTGAATCCTCTCACTGCCTCACACCTCTGCTGTACCCAAGTTCTTGTTTGCATAAATAAATAATTCTTTTTAAAAAAGAAGAGTTTTGCAATACAGTAAAAGTAAACATATCTATGTAAAAGCTTTTCAAAAGGTCCATCAGGTCATCTTAGAAATCACTCAGTCCAGTTAATTCTAGGAACAGAATTCACTTAAAATAAGAGTTACCATGCTTGAACCATATTTATTAATAAGTGCAATATTTAAGCACATGATAACTCAAGTAGAAAAGTGAGCTGTACTCTAAGGACCTGTATTTAATTTTTGCTTAGCCATTCTCAATATACAAGTTCTCAAAGTGTTCCCACTACCTACAAATCAGCATCACCTGTATTGCTAGAAATGCAAATTTTTAGATACTACTACATTCAACTGAAGTGCAAACTCTGGGTTTCAGCAATTCTCCAGGGGATTCTGTTGCACACTACCGCTTGAGAACTAATTATTTAGCACAAATAATGACTACTCTATCCAGTTAATATCCGGATTGATCAGTAATTTATCAGTGCTTTAGAAATTGCAAGTATTGGTAAGTTGTAATTATGTTAGTGCCTGGGAAAATTAAATCTAGAGTAAAAAAATGAACCTAATAGGGCCCTCCCTGGTGGCGCAGCGGGTTGAAGCACTGCACTGAGAAGCTAAAGCCACTCCGCATGAGTTCGATTCCCGCCTGCCCCGGAGGTGACCACATGGCGTGGCAGACCTCTCCTGACCCGCCCGCTGCTCCCCTCAGCAGTGTACTTCGTCGATCTGCCTGTTCTGCTCCCCTCTCTGTCTCTGATGAAGCCTCTCACCTCCCCGAGCCTCTGGCCTGTACCCCAGTTCTATATGCATAAATAAATCTTAAAAAAAAAAAAATGAACCTAATAGAGAATAAGTCTACCTGTTAATATTAGCACTAAAAAACTGAAAACATTTTGTACCTGCCTTTCTATATCTTTTTGGTTTATTTTTAAAACATCTTACCCAACCTGGTTCTTCCAGATACCAGCTCAGAATTTTGGCAAATACTAGTGGAAGCAAAGATTTTCATTTATTTAATAATCGTAGCAAAGCCTGTGAGCCAGCGAAGATTAATCCTGCTGTTCTGTTTCAGTGCACTGTGAGGCCAGTGAGTGGAGTCCTTGGAGTTCATGCATGAAGAAAGGAAAAACATGTGGCTTCAAAAGAGGAACTGAAACCCGGGTCCGAGAAATAATACAGCATCCGTCAGCAAAGGGCAATCTGTGCCCCCCCACCAGTGAGACAAGAAAGTGTACAGTGCAAAAAAAGAAGTGTCAAAAGGGAGAACGAGGTACAGTTATATTAACAAAATGTGTTTGCTGGAATCCTCATAATTTGATGCAAATTTCACTTTTTTTCTTAGGGAATAATTGCTATTTTTACTCATATCTAAAATACATACCAAACCATGATAATTATGTGGGCTGAGTGACAGTGTGAAGATGGGATAATTTCTTTAAATGAAGGCTGATATCAAAACTTCACTATTACAAGTATGTTAATTGAGCCCTAACCAAAAAGCTGAATTACAGGTATTTGGTCCTATACAATTCTTTGGGGCCATATTTCTCTTCTCATCCATTTCCTAATGACTAGAAATCTTTTGGAGAGCCTCATAAGCACAAGACCTAAAACCATTTGGTATAACCATGAGCAACTTACTCCTTTCTTCATTGCTCACAAATCAAAGTCTCACAAGTAAGTAGTAAGCTTTTGTGGCTAAATATGTATGTAGTTAAACGTTACACAGGATTTTAAAAATATTCATGACTTGGCATAATCTCATCCAGCTCTGTCAATGTTGCCTCAAATGGCATGAGTTTGTCTTTTTTGATCACTGTGTAGTATTGTATTATGTAGATATATCAAATCTTCTTGGTCTACTTATCTATTACTAAGCAAAATAAGTCAGGAGAAAGACAAATACAGCATGGTGTCACATACTAGAAAATAGAGAAACCAAACAAAGAGTCAGGTTAAGGCCATACTTAAAAATTAACCCTTGAAAGTAAACTGTAGAACTGAGGCACCCAGAGAGGGAGAGTTAGGGTGGGTTGAGAACAAAGTGGGGAAGGAGACTAGACTATGGTGTTGCATTACAGGTGCTTTGGTGGTGGGTGTACTGTAATAATAATACCTGAAATGGGGGGAGAGGTGGAAAGGAAATCATATATTCGCAAAATACAAACACAGTTTAAAACAACGTTATCTCAATGAAAAAATTAAATAAAATATTTAAATGGATATGCCTTTTTTTTTTTAAGATTTATTTATTATTTATGTGTACAGCCAGAGGTGCAGGGGCAGTGAGAGGCTTCACCAGAGACAGAGTGGGGAACAGAACAGGCAGATCAATGAAGTACACTGCTGAGGGGAGCAGCGGATAGGTCAGGAGAGGTCTGCCGCACCATGTGGTCACCTCCAGGGCAGTTGGGGATCAAACTCATGCTTTCACTTCTTAATGCTGTGCTTTAACCTGCTGCACCACCAGGGAGGGCTGTAAATGGATATGTTTTTAATATTGATCTTACATTTAAGGTGAATGACCAAAAGTCACACTTTATGACTGAAATATAAGCATTAATGACATTTTGTTCCTAGTTATTTTTCATTGTATTTGAATTTTATATACGAGCATATAGAATCTATAATTAATATTTTAGTACTGTCAATATTAAATAATTTTTCAGGGCTTGCTCTGAAGCTTTATGATTTCCAAGAAGAAATATGCCATATAATATGATGCCTTAGGGTGATTAAATTTCTACTTAAAAAGTCTTCAGCTGTTGATCTTTAAAATATTTTTTTCCATCTCATTATTGTCCTTAGTACCATTGCCTAATAATAGGTTTTGCACCCTTATATAACTATTGATAGTTAGCTGGTGAGCCAATAAATCATCCTCTTGACTAATTGCAGCTTGAAAGGAGCTTGGCTGCCTATGTAGTTTAACTTCCTTTACTTCTTTTATTCATTCTCTCATTTGTCATCATTTTAAGTCTTGCTAAATGGCCACAAATCATGCTAAGTCCTGAGGATTCGGCACTTAACAGATACTGTTTTTGTTTCAGAGACCAATGGAGTGTTGTGATAGTCAAACAAATAATTATAATTCATATAGTAAGGGAGAGTATAAATATGTGAGCAAAGTTCAGAGGGATCAGAGGAGAGTGTTGTGCAAATGTGAACATTGCTCATATAAGGAAAAATTGGGGTCACCTGTATTTTGCAAACTGTTTCCTAAGTCAAGAGAATTGACCGTCTTCAGAATGTATAAAATCTGTTGTTGCCATTAATAATCAAGTAGTTAATGTGATAAAATTCTTAAAGAGATGGGTTAATTTTTATAAGTTTGTAAGAGGTTTTGATTAAAATTACATTTAAAGAATAAAAGTTGGCAAGTGAAAAAGGCCTTTCTGGCATTTGTTACCAATTAATTTAAAACATCTTAGATTTTAAAAGTTGGATTTAGAAATCAAATATTTCATCACTCTACTTGTTGGTAAGCTCCCCTAGTCATACATTTACTTATGTTTACTAAGTTTTCTTGCAATTTAATGACTTACAGGTGGTCTTTGCTGATAGTATTCTTTTCATAGACTCTACATTACTAATTAGCATTCAGTACAGTTTGCTTTTAAAATATAAGTGCATAAAATCCAATAGAAAATTAAATTATGTTATTAACTAAGTTTATTTCTTTTACTTGATCATGTATTTTTCTAATATAATTTGTTAGAACTTGAGTTATACATTAACACTGAAAATGCCAGTTTTTAAAAGTAGCAAAACTAGATAAATAATACCACAAGAAAATTAACAGTAACCTGTGACACAAGCTTGACTTAAAAGTTACTTTCTGGCAATTTTTTCTACCATTCTGATTAAAAAACAGTGACATTTTCCATTTACAAGAAAAAGTTTATACAACCAGAAAAATGTAGGTGCTTTATTATTTTTCAAATTTGACAGTGCATAAACTTGCCAAGTAGGAAATGTGGATCATATTTATAATCAAAATCAGATTTAGCTCCACTTTTATTTAATATTCTTTTAACATTTTATGTCTGACAGAAATTTGTTTCAATTGCCTACAAGTTTAAGATAGGAAAGAAAGAATTTCTCTCTACTCCTCTAACCTAATAGCTATCTTAATGTAAGCTTGTCAAAAATCAAAAGTCCTATTTAAAATATTAAGAAACTAAATGGAAAATGTTAAAAAAAAAAAGAACTGGACATGCCACTATAACAAATATAACATCAAAATAATAGCATTATACATGATACTCTCATTGAGGTTTTACAATTTATGCATGAAGATAAACATAATAAAGTTTAAAGATATGAGTTCTCCATACTCCTATACTCCACTTGAATAGTTAGAGCAAGAGTTGTTCTTAAATACTGATTCATAAGATAAGAATTTTCAAGTTCATTACTTGACCATTTAGTGTAGATGAGTGTGCTAAGAAATAAGGATTCTTTTAAAGAAATTTAGCCTAAAAATCATGAATTTAAATTTACATCTATCATCCCTGTCTCGAAGATGAACAATAGACAGAGGTAGATATCTTGAATTTGGGAAAGGTATAGAGCATGTGTTCAGAATTATTTTTATTTATTTATTTATTTATTTTTTTTTTGGTGTGCTATAATTGCCAGAGGCAAAGTCTCTGGGGGAAGAGTGATAAGATCCAGAAATGACTTTCCAAAATGTTCACAAAAAAGTTGAATAGAAGGAAGTAGTTTTCAGTAAGAGAATGGATCATTCTAGTTGTGAAGTACTTTTTATAGGAATAAGTTGAAAATTCAATTGTAAAATTTGACACACACATTTTGCTTTACTAACATTCTTCTCATACTTAGCATAGTTATAGTAAATGAATCTGAGGTAAAAGTGTAAATTTTCCCCAAATCTAACTTTTTATCTAATGTGCTATTTATTCACAACACTTAGGATTATTTCACTGTATCTACCTTATTTATTAGTCTCCCATTCTCAATCCATAACTAGACTTACTAAGTAGTTAGTACTAATGCAATAGTTTTTACCTTGAACCTATCATGATTTATTTATTCATAGGCAATTTCAAAAGCATATTTACATATTTTAAACAATTCTAAAGGTAATGCAACTAGACTAATATCTAAAACTTTTAAAATGTATTGATATAGAATTAAAAAGGAGAAAATGTATCTCAGTGATTGACAATGTATTTATTGACTTTTTGATATACTATGTGTAGCCTTTTTAGAAAGGATGAGTGAAAAAGAACAGAGAAATATATATATTATACTACATGAACATATAACATACATACTTGCATTTGAGGCAGATGGGTGACTGGGAAGGAAAAGGGAGAGGACACAAAAGGAGGATCACCAAATATGTTTCTCATTCATTTGTGTATTAATTTATGAAGAGAATTTCCTGTAGATATTGAGGAAAATCATAAAGAATAAAAATATGTTGTTCTTTGGCTAACTGCATGAGGAAGACTCTGATTAATTACTTGTAATGTTTATTTTTGAAATAGAGAAGAGAGAGAAGAGCAGAATCATGTAAGAAATGGAACAGTGCTACTTTCTTGATATAAGAAAGAAATAGCTTTCTTCCTAGGAGAGAAAGAGAAAAGGAATCCATTACAATATAACTAAATATAAGGTCCGGAGATATTTCTAGAAAAGAAACAAGTGTGGGAATTAATTCTTTATTTGATATATATTGTAGGTCATACTATATGACTTACCCAATTTAAATAAAATATAAAGATTACCTTCTGTCTGTATCACTTCAAAAAATAAAAGTAATAAAAATATATTAGGTTTTACATTCTAAAGAAAAAATGTTATAGGTGAACCTGTAAGTTGCTATCAATCATGCACTAAAAGACCAGTATTATATTCATTATGGTTATAATGAACACAATATTTTACGTTACAGCAAACTCAGTTTTTAAAAATCAAACAGATAGAGTGACTCTGCTTTGTTCTTAGATTTGTTCCTCTGACTTTTAGTTGGTCCCTAAAATCTTTGTGACCTCTATTCCAATGACAAATAGCTACATGTTCTACAAGAAGGATGTATATTAAATATTGATCCTGATTCAAAACAAAACATTTAGCCAAGATTTCCAGAATAGTTGATTAAAATCCAAGTGGATGAATTCATTAGCCCAAAATTGTAATTTGCTAACTGGTGTACAGCAGTTTGATATAGCCTTTTCCCACGTTCATCTCATACAGGCAAGCCAATGCCCATGGCCACCCATCCTGTTTAAGCACTAGAGG